GTAGCGCCTCTGCCAATGCCTGCTCTGTGTCTCAGATGAAGACTTTTCCCCTTTCCTTCACTTGTAGATTTGATGCAGGGATGCTGGATGGTACTTTGTGCAGAGGGAGACATACACAAACATCCAACAATGACAACCATAAAAATACTCTTGACCTGTCATGCCAACAAGGGATGGGTTTTCTTACAAATGGCTGATTTTAGGTATGTGAATTTTGCACTTTGTTTTATTGAAAGAGCCCAGAAAAGGATCCAAACCAGAATGACAAAACCCACTAAAAAGGGACATACTGATTTACAATCCTGAAATCTGGGTAAACCTAAGAAGTCACATGGGTGATTATGACCAGTTACAATTCATGAGTACGAAGAGGGCTGCTGCACAGCGCACTCTCACTGATTCAAACAAGAACGTCAGAAACCACACCGCCTATTTTCCTTTTCGGTGAAAAAAAAAAATAGGATTATTGTTAAGCATGCTCTTTCCCTTGTGCACTTCCAGAAGAAAACAAACTAACAAACTGTCAAGGTTGTTACAGCACACATATGCATTTCCACAGTACAAAAGACCTCTAGTAATGCAACAGACCACGCCAATTCTCTCCTTGGTACACACGTTGATGTGCCTGTTCACGTACTGTACTGTTAAAAAAACCTGGCTATTTGCTATGCCATAAACATGCAAAGGGGCAAAGTGGTCTAAACTGTCACCTACGTAGTATTTTCATGTTTGCCACTGCTAGAAGAGCATCTGTTTCTGGGAAAGTTAATGCCAAATAACCTGGGATGGGGACAGATGTTTCCCCACTTTTTGACCGGGAGGTGGGCTATTGAATCATCCCACCTCTCGTGGTTAGAAAAAAAAACAGGCAGATTGCAGAGATTTTTCTGGACTTCACAGCAACCAAAAAGTAGGCCTACGCAACAGCACCCAAAAAGGAAGAGCAGTTAAGCCACAAATACGTCAATTTGGTGTAAGGTTGTGCAGGAATGTTATACAAATGTAGAAAGTATTCCTGGGTAATTTTGCCAAAAGGAGTACTGGTCCGTCTTTATACATGTAGCATTCACTTGTCGGGTCAACACTAGTATAGGCACAGATATTTTTAGCCTGTTAGTTTCAAACAGCTGACAAAATTCCCTCGACTACCTGTGCACATGTTTAGAAAAACAAGTGACATGATTTGGACTGGATCGTTGCCGCTTTACAAGTAATCTCTATTTCAGTACCAACAATATGCTTTATTCTGGTCAATGTAGTTCTAACGTCTGCTCTTACATGTCACCGCGCGTCTGAAAAAGGCAGGAAATTATGCTCATTGTGATGTACAAGCTCAGCCCTGAACAGGCTTTTGACAGAAAATGCCATAATAAGTTTAGTCTGAGCATAAGGAAATCGTACCTGATCACAACCAAGGGAGAAATCAATGCAGTGCACCATAACGACTACGAAAAGGGACAGCTGATGTCCATCATTGGTGTGGTTTCTTTCAACCATTGTTTTTCTCTCGTCTCTGTTGCTGCATGTACATGTACATGTAGATGTGTTTGACATGTTGAATGCACACCCAAACATCAAACACTGTTCATCCCCAAATTTGAAAGGTCTAGAAAACCATTTGTCAATCTGAAATTTTCTTTGTTTGGCCGGCAAAATCACC